TTAATATTTATGGAAGAAGGAGAAATATCAATATAAGACACTGTAGGATTCTTTATTACTATGAATCCAGGATATGCAGGTAGAACTGAATTACCTGAAAATTTGAAAGCATTGTTTAGATCATGTGCTATGGTTGTACCAGATTTAGTATTGATTTGTGAAAATATGCTTATGTCTGAAGGTTTCTAATAAGCAAGAGCATTAAGTAGAAAATTCGTATCTTTGTATATGTTATCCAGAGAATTGTTATCAAAAGCTAGACATTATGATTGGGGTTTGAGAGCAGTAAAATCAGTGTTGAGATAAGCTGGTAAATTGAAGAGAGCAGATCCATAAATAGCAGAGGATCCATTATTGATGAGAGCTCTAAGAGATTTCAATATGCCAAAGATTGTTACAGATGATAAACCAATCTTTTTAGGTTTGATAGGAGATTTATTCCCAAGAATTGAATGTGAAAGTAAAACAAATCCTGATTTAAAGAAAATTGTAGTTGATACAACTAAATAAGATATGGGATTAGTAGCTGAAGAAATGTTTGTATTAAAAGTAGTTTAATTGGCTGAAATATTGGAAGTGAGACATTGTGTATTTGTGATAGGTCCACCAGGTTGTGGTAAAACAAGTGTATGGAAAACTTTGGCAAAGACTCATTAAAATAGAGGAGAAGATTATGAATTAGATACTCTAAATCCTAAGGCAGTGACATCAGATGAATTATTTGGATGTTATACTAAGACAAAGGAATGGAAGAATGGTGTTTTAAGTATGATTATGAAGAATTAAAATAAATGTGAAGAAAAGTATAAACCTAGTCATTTACATAAATGGTCAATTTTAGATGGTGATATTGATCCTGAATGGATTGAATCCTTAAATACAGTTATGGATGATAATAAAGTACTTACATTAGTGTCAAATGATCGTATTCCTTTGACTCCATCAATGAGATTGTTATTTGAAATTTCAAATCTTAAGAATGCTACTCCTGCTACAGTATCTAGAGGTGGTGTCTTGTTTATTAATGAAACAGATATTGGTTGGATGCCTTATATGAATAGTTGGTTAGAAAGATCATTTGAAAAATGTGTAGTGAAAAGAGAAGGATTGATGGGATAAGTACCATAATCACCTCCTATTGATGATATTGCTAAATCTGTATTCTATAGATGTTTCTAATAATACTTTGAAACCAATCCAGATATCAGAGATAAGAGTAAAGTCAGATTAATAGTTCCATAAGTTGATATTGCTTAAGTAATGACAATCTGTATGATTTTGGATGCATTACTTTTAGAAACAGAGTACACAAAGCTTTCTCAAATGAAAGAAGATGATCAAAAAATGATTTATGAAGCTTATTTCATTTATGCAGGAATGTGGGCTATTGGTGGTTGTTTTGGAGGAGGATAAGATGATGAAAAAGATATGAAAGATTTCAACTCTGTATGGAAAGCTGCTGCTAAAGTAAGAATGCCAGAATAAGGTATGTGTTTCGATTATTACTTTGATTTTGCTGAATAAAAATGGACTCATTGGTAAGGTAAAGTAGTACCTTATATTGCTACTGATGAAGCTATCTTCTCTAAAATCTATGTTGCTACTTTACATACAACTAGATTAAGAACTTTATTAGATTACCATCTTAGAAGAAAGAAATGTGTCTTATTTGTAGGATCTGCAGGTACTGGTAAATCTGCTGTTATCAAAGATTATTTGAGTTAAACTAAAACAGATCAAGTATCATATAAAACTATCAACTTTTCATCATTTACTGATTCATTAGCATTATAGAAGAATATAGAATCTATGGTTGAAAAGAAATCTGGTAGAACTTTTGGTAGTGCTACAGGAAAAGCATTAATTTGTTTCATTGATGATATGAATATGCCATATGTAGATAAATATGGTACATAATAACCTATCTAATTATTAAGATAAGTAGTAGATTATGGAAGTGTTTTCAATAGAGAATAATTAGAAGAAAGAAAATTCCTTTAAGATTTACTATTCTTTAGTGCTTTAAATCAAAAATCAGGATCTTTCATTATAGATTTAAGATTATAAAGAAACTTCTCTGTATTCACTATGTATACACCTAATGCTGAAATCATTAAAACTATTTTTGGTGCTATTTTAAATAGTCATTTAGCTACATTTGATGATAAAATACATAAGTTATCTGATAAATTAATTGAAGCNGAGATTGTTATTTGAAATTTCAAATCTTAAGAATGCTACTCCTGCTACAGTATCTAGAGGTGGTGTCTTGTTTATTAATGAAACAGATATTGGTTGGATGCCTTATATGAATAGTTGGTTAGAAAGATCATTTGAAAAATGTGTAGTGAAAAGAGAAGGATTGATGGGATAAGTACCATAATCACCTCCTATTGATGATATTGCTAAATCTGTATTCTATAGATGTTTCTAATAATACTTTGAAACCAATCCAGATATCAGAGATAAGAGTAAAGTCAGATTAATAGTTCCATAAGTTGATATTGCTTAAGTAATGACAATCTGTATGATTTTGGATGCATTACTTTTAGAAACAGAGTACACAAAGCTTTCTCAAATGAAAGAAGATGATCAAAAAATGATTTATGAAGCTTATTTCATTTATGCAGGAATGTGGGCTATTGGTGGTTGTTTTGGAGGAGGATAAGATGATGAAAAAGATATGAAAGATTTCAACTCTGTATGGAAAGCTGCTGCTAAAGTAAGAATGCCAGAATAAGGTATGTGTTTCGATTATTACTTTGATTTTGCTGAATAAAAATGGACTCATTGGTAAGGTAAAGTAGTACCTTATATTGCTACTGATGAAGCTATCTTCTCTAAAATCTATGTTGCTACTTTACATACAACTAGATTAAGAACTTTATTAGATTACCATCTTAGAAGAAAGAAATGTGTGTTATTTGTAGGATCTGCAGGTACTGGTAAATCTGCTGTTATCAAAGATTATTTGAGTTAAACTAAAACAGATCAAGTATCATATAAAACTATCAACTTTTCATCATTTACTGATTCATTAGCATTATAGAAGAATATAGAATCTATGGTTGAAAAGAAATCTGGTAGAACTTTTGGTAGTGCTACAGGAAAAGCATTAATTTGTTTCATTGATGATATGAATATGCCATATGTAGATAAATATGGTACATAATAACCTATCTAATTATTAAGATAAGTAGTAGATTATGGAAGTGTTTTCAATAGAGAATAATTAGAAGAAAGAAAATTCCTTTAAGATTTACTATTCTTTAGTGCTTTAAATCAAAAATCAGGATCTTTTATTATAGATTTAAGATTACAAAGAAACTTTTCTGTATTCACTATGTATACACCTAATGCTGAAATCATTAAAACTATTTTTGGTGCTATTTTAAATAGTCATTTAGCTACATTTGATGATAAAATACATAAGTTATCTGATAAATTAATTGAAGCAACAATTCACTTATTTAATAGAGTTCTTAAAGATACAAGATACTCTCCCTCAGCTAGAAAATTCCATTATTAATTTAATTTCAGAGAACTTGCAAAAGTAGTTGAAGGTATGATGAGATCAACCCCTAATTAATATAGAGGATAACCAAATAGAATGTTAAGATTATGGGCACATGAAGCTAAAAGAGTATTTGAAGATAGATTCATTAATGAAGAAGATATAAAAGTCTTTAGAGATTATGTTAAAGATGCAATGGTCAAAAATATTGGAGAACCTGATGATAAGGACAATCCTTTAGAGGAACCAAATGTGTTTACAAGTTTTGTAGCAGCTCATATTGGTCAAGAATAACAATATACAAATTGCGATCCTTAGACTTTAAAGAAAGTTTTGGAAGATAAATTAAGAGAATATAATGAAGTGAAAGCTATGATGAATTTAGTGTTATTCTAGTAGGCTATGGAACATGTTTGTAGAATAGCACGTATTTTAGAATTACCAGGAGGTAATGCATTATTAGTTGGTGTTGGTGGTTCAGGTAAATAATCACTTACAAGATTGGCTACATTTATTTTAGGATATGAAGCTGATCAAATGGTAGTTACATCAAATTTCACTATAAATGATTTAAGAAATTACTTATAAGAAATCTATAAGAAAGTAGCTAAACCAAGTGCAGGAAGTAGATGTTACATTTTGACTGATTCTTAAATTAAAGAGGAAATCTTTTTGATTCCCATTAATGATATGTTAAATTCTGGTTGGATATTTGATCTCTTCCCTAAAGAAGATTATGACAATATGATTTAAGGATTAAGAAATGAAGCTAAAGGAGCAGGTGTATTAGATAATCTAGAATCAATCACATAATACTTTTTAGATAAAATGAGAAGAAATCTTCATGTTGTATTATGTTTCTCTCCAGTTGGTGATACTATGCGTATTAGATCTCGTAAATTCCCAGGTATTATCAATTCAACAAGTGTTGATTGGTTCCATCCATGGCCAAAAGATGCACTTATTGATGTGTCATATAGATTCATTTAAGATATTGAATTGGATACTGATGATCTTAGAAAAATCATTTCACTTCATATGGCTGAAGTCCATCTTTCAATTGATTATGCTAATCAAAAATATTTGTAATTAGAAAGAAGATATAATTATACTACACCAAAATCATTTTTAGAATTGATTGAATATTATAAGAAATTATTGGGTGAAAAGAGAGAATAGATTCTCAAATAAATCAAGAGATATGAATAAGGTTTATAGATTTTAGCTGATACATAAAGCAAAGTTTAATTGTTATAAGGTGAATTGAAAATAAAGATGGTGGAAGTTGATAAAAAGAAGAATGAAACAGATATCCTTATTGAAAAAGTAGGTAAAGAATCTGCTGTTGCTGAAGTTGAATAAAAGATTGCAAATGAAGAAGAAGATAAAACTAATACTGCATCAAAAGCAGCAGAAGAATTAGCAGAAACTGCAAGAATTGAATTAGAAAAAGCAATACCTGCTTTAGAGAAAGCCAAAGCTGCTGTTGATTGTATTAAGAAACCATAAATTACAGAAATGAAATCTTTAGGTTCACCTCCTACTGGTGTGTTAACAACTGCTAGAGCTGTCTTAATATTATTAGGAGAAAAGATTACATTATAAGATCCAGAAGATAAATTATGGAAGAAATCATAATAAGTTATGAACAATCCATAATAATTTTTAGATAGAATTATTGGTTTTAATGGTAAATCAATTGATCCATAAATATTGGCATCTGTTAATAAAATAATAGAAGATCCTGCTTTGAAATTTAATGAAGAATCTATGAAAGGATAAAATTATGCTGCTTCCAAATTATGTGCTTGGGCTGTTAACATTGTTACTTTTAACACAATTTTCAAGTTGGTTGATCCACTTGAAAAATCAAGAGATGCTGCTATGGCTGATTTAGAATAAAAGAAGAAAGAATTAGCTGTTGTTAAAGAGAAAGTTAGAGCATTGAATGAAAAAGTTAATAAATTAAAACGTGATTTAGAAGAAGCTGAAAGAGTTAAATAATTAGTAGAAGCTGATGCTAATGCTTGTTAAGAGAAATTATCAGCTGCTGAAAAATTAGTGAATGGTTTAGCAGGTGAAAATAAACGTTGGGGAGAAAATGTAAAAGAATTGTCTAGCAATATTAAATCTGTTGTAGGAAATGCATTATTGGCTGCTGCTTTTGTATCATATATTGGTGCATTTTCAGCTAAATTGAGATTAGAATTATGGTCCAAGATTTGGTTGATTGATTTATAAGCTAAATAGATTCCATTGACTTAAGGTATTGATCCACTTAAAATCTTAACTACTGAAGCTAAAATTGCTAGTTGGAAGAATGAGGGATTGTAATCAGATTAAATGTCATTGGAAAATGCCTCAATTATTAGTGCTTGTTCAAGATGGCCACTTATTATTGATCCATAATTATAAGGTTCAGTTTGGATTAGAGGATCATAAGGTGATAATTTGGTTACTATAAATGTCAGTTAAAATAAGTGGTTGTAATAATTAAATGCTTCTATTCCTATGGGTAAAGCAGTGTTGTTAGAAGGTATCTAATAAGAAATAGATGCTACACTTGATCCTTTATTGAGTAGAGCAATTGTTAAGAAAGGAAAGAGTGCTTATTTAGAATTAGCAGGTGAATAAATTGATTATGATCCAAAATTCAAACTATTTTTAATGACTAAATTGTACAATCCACATTTCAGACCAGAAATAGCTGCATAATGTACTATTATTAACTTCATTGTTACTGAATCAGGTTTAGAAGAATAATTACTTGCTGCTGTTGTGAATATTGAAAGAAATGAATTAGAAATGAAGAGATCAGAATTGGTCAAATAATAAAATGAATTTTCAGTATAATTAGATAAATTAGAGGAAAATCTTTTGATTTAATTATCAGAAGCAGATCCATCAACTATTTTAGAAAATAAGAGTTTAATTGCAAATCTAGATAATACTAAATAAACATCTAATACTATTACTGAATAAAGTAAGATAGCAAAAGTGACTGAAGTTGAAATTAATCAATAAAGAGAAATTTATAGAATTGTAGCTGCTGAAGGTGCTATGCTTTATTTCTTAGTAATTCAATTAAGTGTTATGGAACATATGTATCAATATTCTTTAGAATCATTTAATAAATTCTTCTTTAAAGCTATTGAAAGAACAACTATTAGAGATGAAACAAGAACTGAAGAGTTAAGAAAGAATATTAGATATACAATTTATTAATGGATAAGTAGAGGATTATTTGAAAAACACAAATTAATCTTTTTAACTTTGATTGCATTTAGATTAATGTAAAAGAAAGTAATTGAAGTTGTTTATGAACCAGCTGAAATGGATTTCCTTATTAAATGTGTACCTAGAGCAGGTGTTGAAAATAATTTAGATTGGTTATCATAAAATGCTTGGGATTCAGTACAAGGATTAATTTAATTAGAAGAATTCAAATTATTTGCTTAAAATATGGAAAAAGATGCTCCAATAAGATTTAAAGATTGGTACAATGAATTATAACCAGAAGATGTAAAATTACCATTTGATTGGAAGAGATTAGATTAAATGCCATTCAAAAAATTATTAGTCTTAAGATGTTTAAGACCAGATCGTATTACATCTGCTTTAACTAATTTCATTAGATAAGCATTACCTTAAGGTGAATCCTTTGTTGAAATGGATTCAAAACTAAACTTTTCAGATGTTCTTTCTGGATCAGTTGATGATTCAGATGCAACTATTCCAATTTTCTTCATTTTATCTCCAGGAGCAGATCCAGTAAAGGAAGTAGAAAAATTAGCAAGATTAAATAAGATTGAACCAGGAAAATCATTCTGGAATATTTCATTAGGATAAGGTTAAGATGAAATTGCTAGACGTAGAATTGAAGAAGGTAATAAGGAAGGACATTGGGTTATGTTATAAAATATTCATTTAATGCCTAAATGGTTATTAGAATTAGAAAAGATTTTGGATTCATTTACTGGAGAATAAGGTGGTGGTAATCCTAGATTTAGATTGTTTTTATCAGCTGAACCTTCAGGTGGAATTCCTATTGGATTATTGGATAGATCAATTAAATTAACTAATGAACCACCTGCTGGTTTAAGAGCTAATATGAAGAGAGCATGGGCTTATTTCAGTAAAGATGAAATTGAAGACAAAGATCCTAAAATTAAATCAATTCTCTTTGGTTTATGTTTCTTCCATTCTACAGTTATTGAAAGAAGACGTTTTGGACCTAAAGGATGGAATATGTCTTATCCATTCAATATGGGAGATTTGAGAGATTCCTATTTAGTCATGAATAGATATATGGAATAAGGAGCTGGTGGTAAAGTGCCATTTGATGATTTAAGATATATCTTTGGTGAAATCATGTATGGTGGTCACATTGTAGATGATTGGGATAGAAGATTATGCATGGGTTATTTGGATAATATCATGCATGAAGGAATATTTGATGAATTGGAATTATTCCCATTCATTGAAGGCAAGAATTTATCATTCAAAGTTCCTCCACCAAATAATTATGAAAAATACATAGAACATATTGAATAAGTACTCACTTAAGAAACTCCTCTTGCTTATGGATTACATTCAAATGCTGAAATTGGTTTCAGAACATAATAATGTTTAACTCTCTTCTCTACACTTTTAGAATTACAACCAAAAGATAGTGCTAGTGATGAGAATGCAAGTGGTATGAGAACTAAGAACGAAATTGTTTAAGAACTTATTAAATAATTGGCTGAAGATATTAACTTAAAATCTATGATATTTAATATTGATGAAATTAAAAATAAGATTGATGCTGAAAATAAAGGACCTTATTAAAATGTGTTTTTGTAAGAACTTGAATATATGAATTACTTATTAATTGAAATTGTAAGATCTATGGATGAAATTGATCAAGGTTTTAGAGGTATTCTTACAATTTCAGAATAAATGGAATAAATTATTGATGCCATTGCTTTGAATAGAGTACCAAATGTTTGGGTTGCATTGGCTTATCCATCAAAGAGAGGTTTGGCTTCTTGGTTAACCAATCTTCTCAAAAGAATTGAATAACTTAATCTATTTAGAGATGATCCTTATGCAATCCCTAAAGTCACTATGATTGGTAGATTCTTCAATCCTTAATCTTTCTTGACAGCTATCAAATAAGTTATTGGTAGATAAAGAGCTCAAGAATTAAATAGATTATACATAGCCACTGAAGTAACCAAAAAGAGTATTGAAGAAATTGATTAAATTGCAAAAGATGGTGCCTATGTATTTGGATTCGTATTAGAAGGAGGTATATATTTCATTTTAATTCTCTCTAGCTCGTTGGGATGTAGTCACAGGATAACTTGAAGAATCAAAACCAAAAGAAATGTTTAGTGTCCTACCTGTTGTCTACTGTAAAGCACTCATGGTCCCTGCAGAAGGCAAAGAAGATAAAGCTATTTATTAATGTCCATGTTATAGAACTGAAGATAGAGGTAATACCTACATCTTTACTGGATAACTTAAAACCAGACTCAATCCAAGAAAATGGATTTTAGCTGGAGTAGCTCTTCTTCTTGATGTTGAAGGTACTTCTGATGAAGCTGCTTCTGCTAAAAAGGAAAAGAAGACTTGAAACTCATTATATCATTATAATATATATAATCAATTTAATAAATTATTGCATCTACATAAGTATTAATCAGAAAAATAAATCTTATGATTTATCAAATATTATTTAAAAGAACATTTCCATTAATATTATCATCTCATGTAATTTGACAACTTATTTGGTTATGAAGAATAACAAGAATAAAAAGTATAGCCATTAATACAGAAATAATAAGTACAGGATATAAAAGAGCTATTTAAATAATAAAAACCTTCATAAATATTAAATTACAAATCAAAAAGAAGAGGAAAAAAATAACAAGACAAGTTAAATCGATTTAAATAATAAATGTCTCTAAATCCAAAATCAAAAGGTAAAATCCAAAAAAAGAATTCAATTACAGGATAAGTCCCAATTGAAAATTCAAAAATAAATTTACCATTAATTTTACTCAAAATCTAAGAATATAGTTAAGCATTAAAAGATTAAATCTCAAAAATTGACATTGTAATTACATAATATTAATCATAATGTTAAAATAAGTAATTATAATTAGTGGAAGATCAATATATTTAGAATTTGTAAAAATGTTTGCTTAATTGTCTAATTTAATTCTAATAACTTTAATAATACTTTCCAAATTTATTTATTTAAAGATAATATGATTAATCTGATTAGATTATAAAATTAGGTTAAGATGATATGAGATAAGATTACACATTTTTAGATCATAGAGTATCATTACCAGAAATAAAGTTTTCTTAAATTTCTAAAAATGAACATATCAAACTTGACAAGATGAGAATTACTGCTTCATCAAAATTATATGGAGGAGTCATTTGCGAATAGAGATTATATAAAAATGATATATCAAAATTTGCATTCAAAATTAATAAAATTGATGGAAATATTGGAATTGGTGTTTGTAATAAAGATATATTTATTCAACAAAATTATTAATATGACTAATCCCAAATTACTAAAGGGTATTTTTATTTATAAAATAATTAGTTTATATCTATTTCACAATTATGGTAGTATATATCGTAATTAAGAAAATGGATTATTGTAAGGATAAACCTTTGAATTCCAATAATCAGACATCATAATAGTTATAGTTAATTTCTAAAAATAATATATAAAATGGAAAAAATATAAAGAAAAGTCTTAATTTGTAAAATATTTAACCTATATTTTAGAGCATTTATTTTGATGTTAACAATGAGTTATATCCCTGTGTAGTGTTTTCAAAATTATCATCATTTAAGAAAGTATCCTAAGTTACAATTGTTAAACCAAAAACATTACAGATTATAGATGGCTCTTCTATATTTGGAGATAATTGAATATATATTATTTAAAAATGAACATTTTAATATTATGTAATATCTATAGATTTTTAATGAATTTTTATTTTAATGAAATTATTTCTAATCTTATCTTACTTTATCAGTAATTGATCTATATTTATAATTCATAAAAAATAGTTAAAGTCTTTAAAACACTTCAACAATTGATTGCTCTAATAAATATATCTGCAATTTATATCTAATTATTGTTTATTAAAAAAGAGGATTTTATATAAAATTATTCTAATTATTTAATAAGTGTTTTACTTTCATCTATTTTTATATTTAAATATCATTATCTAATAAATTTAGATGTATATTTATTCATCTTATGAGAGTTTATATAATATGAACATAAAATTATTAGAATGATTTTATGATATTTATTGTCTTTAAAAAATTAATTGATATGTATAAATTTGTGATTATATGAGTAATTTTTCAATGTAAATATTCTCATTTGTAGTTTTTATGTATTTGAAAGTATTAATAAAAAAATTGGAAACTTTAAGTTAAAAAGAAATAAATTAAGATTGATTGGGATCTGTAAAATTGAGGATAGAATTGAAAATAAGATAGGAAGGGAGAATTCAGATAGTATAAGGATGAGATAAGGAATTAGTGAGTAAAATAATTGATCAGATAAAATTTTATGTTTGTAATTGCAGCAAATTGGCGGGAAATGAATGGATTTTAAAGGGGGAGGAGTTGGTGGAATGTTTTATGTAATTTTATTGGTTGATTATAATTATATAGGGATTTTTTTGGATTGAAATTTTAATTAAAACAAAAAGCATTGAATCTCAATTTAAATAAGAAAATACATTAACATAAAACAAATGACAGATAATAATACTAAAAAGGTATATATATAAATTAATAATTTGTTTAGGAAGCACCACCCAAAAGACCATAATGCGCTTTCTTTATTTACAAATAGGAGGTGTACTAATAAGTCAAGGATGCCAATCCCGGTAAGAAAATGACCGATATCACTAAAATAATTTCTGAATAGTATAAACAACTTCCCAAAGATAAAATTGATTAATACGAATAAAAATATAAGGATAGTAAAGCTATCTTTGAAAAAGAAAAGAAGTTCTCATATCAATTTATATATTAATAGAACTTATGAAGATAAATATGGAAAGATTAAGAATGAAAGAAAGAAGAAGAAGGATGATGCCAAAGCTACCAAAAAACCATAAAATAAAAAATAGAAAAAATAAGAATCTGAAGAAGATGAGAGTAGTGAGGATGATGATTGAATTAATTTATATTTTAATAAAATAAATATTTTATTTTTAGAATGGGAGTATCTGAATCTGAATCTAAATCTATAAAGAAACATACTAAAGTGATATTTCCTGATTCTGAATATGACATTCTGGAAGTCTATTTCGAACTATTAAAATGTCATGATTAAATGTACAAATTAAACATATTATGATCTAAATAGAAATGGATATCAGAGTTTTCTGAAAATCCTGATTTCTCAATTAAACTATATAATTGAATGAGAGAACCTTCTAAGAATTATTAGATAGATTATACTAATTTTGTGATTGCATGTAAGAAGTTAATATTAAAATTTAGTATAACTCTTATTAAAAGAGTAATGAGTTTACTATATAAGAGATAATAAATTTAGAATGTTTGAGAAATTTGAATTATTTACATTGATAAGCTTGGGTTATTTGGAAAATGAAAAGGAAATAATAAATAGATATTGAAATCCATTTATTCAGATTCCAAGTAAGGAAGTACAGTAATTAAAGAATTCTTAAATGTGTATAATTATAATACAGAAATAACTAATATCTTTAGCAATTATTTATGATTACATTTGATATAAAATCAAAAAAAATTGTATGGTTATATAAATAGCAAGATATCAATTTAAAAAAGCCTTAACCTTATAGTTTAGGTATGGAAATGGCAAAGAAAATTTTAGAATTTGGATTGAAGAAAGTCTTAAAGGAAAATGCAACCAATTGAGATTTTTGGAGCAATATTTTGAAGAAAAGGATACTAGACCTTCTAATAAAATTTATTTAGAAATTGAATTACATATTGATTGATCAAAATATTAATAGATATCATGATATAATAATGAAAGAGATTGATATTTTATGTTTAAAATGCAATTGTTAATTACAATCTTAGATAGAATATATATTGAGTGAAAAGAAATCCATTTTAATTGATTATAAATAGTAATATTAATAATAATTCTTTAATGTAAAACCCTTTATAGATGACTCGTAAATTCAATAGAGCTAATGACAATTCTATCTAAGATATAACACATAAAAAAATATATGAACCTATTGAATTAGAATTAAATAAAGAATATGGGTTAAGATATGTAAAAAATGATTATGAAAACAATTTTGAGAAAGAGGAGGGGTTTGATAAAAGAGAAATATTAAATTTATAACCAATAGACATATTTAAAATGAATCCTAATTAAAATTAAACATAGGTAATTGATTAATAAGGATAAAATCAAAATTAAACTTAGAATTTATAGAATTAGTCATAATCAGAATAACACTAAGGATTATTAAGTGCTATAATAAATAATTGTTAATAACCAAAAATAGATAATATAACTGAAAAAGATATCTTTGAATAAAATAGAATAAAAGTTATGATCTGTATCACAATGTATTCTGAAAAATATTCAGAATTAGAAAAATCTTTAAGTGGAGTTGGAAAGGATATAGAATCTTTCTTAAAAATGTATTAATAATATTTGAATTTAGTGGGATAGCACCACATTAAATAGCAGTAACAGTAATTTTTGATGGAATAGTTAATATTTGTCATAAACCAGGAGCTTATAGAGATAATATTATTCGTATTTATTTAATTTTTTATAAATTAGCTTACTTCGAAAGTGAAATTGATAAAAAATATGGGTTTCAAAGAGAATAGACTCTAGCTTATTAATATAATAAATATTAAGAATAATTGAAACGATTTTAGGATTATAATCCAGATAATATTAAGTATCTAAGAGCTAATACAGATCAATTATTAAAAAAGTATAAGAAACATAGAGATGCTTTAAAAAAGACAATGGAAAGATTAAAAGGAGAAAAATATAATTTGATTGAGTAAGATGAATATATAGAATAAAATATTGTTGATGCTATGGAGAATCAGTATTAAATAGCAAAAAAATATTTAGAAAATAGAAAAAATACTGCTTGGGTTTATTAAGATGGTTTAATAGATAATTAATCAAATGGGATACTTCCAATATTTTATACATTTAAATTTACTAATGGTTCTAAATTATCATCTCATATGTGGTTTTTTAAGGGTTTTTGTTAATTGTTACAACCAAAATATTGTGTATTAATGGATGTTGGTGCTAATCCTTAAAAAGATGCAATTTTTTAATTAATAATGGCTATGGAATAGAATCCAAAGTTAGGAGGAGTATGTGGAACAATGAGAGTTTAAATTGAAGAAGATGATAAAGATGATGTTGAATTAGATATAGTGACAAATATTTTAGTAAATAAAGTGTTTTCAATTTAAAAATGTTAATCTTGTGAATATGACATTGCACATTTACTAGATAAATAAGCAGAATCAGCACTTGATTTTATTCATGTATTGCCTGGTGCATTTTCTGCATATAGATATAAAGCATTTTTTGTGAATTATAAAGATGATAGAAACTAGTAACGATGTAATTAAGAGAATTAAAATATCTTAATACCATAATAAGAGGAGGGGATTTTGGATAAATATTTGAGATAAGTGTTGGATTAAAATTATGAACATTAAACATTATAAGAAGCAAATATGTTTTTAGCTGAAGATAGAGTTTTATGTAAATTATTATTTTGTAATGGATATCATTTGAGATATATACCTAATGCTTTAGTTTATGTTGATCCATGTACTTCATTAAAATAATTAATTTAATAAAGAAGAAGATGGATTAATGGATCATGGCATGCTTTATCATATATATCTGATAATTACGATTAAGATTTAAAAACTAGTAAACATTCATGGTGGGATAAATAAAAATTTATATTATCTATTACTTAAGCTAAGATTTAATAACTTATGATATATTTTATGGAATCATTTTAAATTCTATGGCTTTATATGATTATGTATGCTATAGTAGATACAGGAGATCTTGGATTAAATAATTTTATTATTTCAACAGTTATTGCTTTTTATGTATTTTTGGTGTTTATGGTTATATATTTGTCTATTAATTATGATCCTGCATTACTTAAAGAATTGGGAAAATAAGAAAAAGAGAAAGAAAAAATAGAAACAGATTATTACTTTTCTAGACTCTTTTTTGTATCAACATGTTTAGGATTCATAAGTCTTGGTACAGTAGTATATACAATCTATTTGTTAATTACAGAAATATTCTTTAATTATGGATTTAATGATATAGTAGAAAAACCTCAAGTTCCATAGAGCTATTATTTAGTTCTTGTTGTTATATCAATAGGATCTATTATATTACCAATATTATCATCATTATTTTAATTACCATAGAATATATTTAATGCAGCTTTAACTATGATCCCATATTTTTATTATCAACCAACTTATATGCATTTATTTGTAATCTATTCTTTTTGCAGAATAGATGATTTATCATGGGGAACAAAAGGATTGACAAATACAGGATCTAGTTCTGTTAATTCAGATAAAGCATATTAAAAATTTAAATTTTTATTAACATGGTTAGTACTTAATACATTAGTTACTGCAGTTCTATTAATATTATTTTAGATATAAATATATTTACTTCCCTAAGGTTTAATATTATTTATATCAGTTATTTTAACAATACTTACTATTTTAAAAGGATTTTTAGCTTTATGGTATAGGATTAAATATTGTTCTATTTAAAGTTAGATTGAATAATATATAAATTCAATTAATAAGGGCATAAATGTTGTAAATAAAGAATAGAGAAATAAGATTACGCAATAAATTAAAGAAAACAACAATATATTGTAATTATAAATAGATAATGCATTGTAAAATAGTTATTTAAGAGCATCAGCATTTACTGCATATTTGGAGTCCTTCTTCAAAAGTAATAATTGATTATATAAAAATAATTATTATTATAATTCAATTAAAATATGGGGATTAATTATTGAATTATTATTATTATTATTATTATTATTATTAATTTTGATTTCCCATCTCTTACTACATATAACTTAATTCATAATTCTATTTAATTTCATCTCTTTATTCATATCGATTCTCTTTATCTTTTCTGTCTCTTATAAATGAAATTATCAAATATGATACTACACAAAAATCCAAAACTGTTGTTATACAAAATAAAATTAAACATCCCCAATTAAATCTATAAATGTTTTCACTTAACATATCTCTTAAATACTCTAATTATATTTAAACATATTCATCAGAACAATTCCTTGAAATTACACTTTCTAAGAAATTACTTTCTTCCTTTGTTCTACTAAAACTCATTATTATTATAAATGCCTATAAACTCTAGAGAATTATTTTTGTCAATATTTCCAAATAAAATATAGTATTTGATTCTTCAGTACCACGTCCTTTAATGCAAGGCCAATCTCCACCTTACAAAGTATGGGCTTATATATAACTCCATATAACGGAAATTATAATAAAGAATATAATTGAAACTATCATCAAATACTTTTAAGTATACAATATCTCTTCCAATATTTATTCTTAATCAATAAAATTATCAAACATTTCTCCTCTACAAGACATTTTCCATTCTATATATCCTCTAGCATAAAGACCTTTATTAAATTCTCAAATACCCCATTAATATTATTTTGAAATCTCATATCCTCTAAGTTAATCTTATATCTTTAATTGATTATTAGATTCATAAAACTCAACTTCATTTGAAGATTTTAGTTTAATAAATCTTTTATCAATTTAACATTCAGTCTTATTCTCTCTCATTAATGGATATTCAACTCTTCCATTACTTAATCCTCTCAAATGATTCTTCATACATATACCCTCTCCTTCTGAAACTCTTACTTCCACTAATGGTAATTTATATTCACTTTTTCGATTATATAAAAGTGTAAGTCCCTTTTCTGTCTATTCTTATGAATTATCAATTAAAGTAACATCTTTAAAGCCTATTTCAAATATTGGACATTCAGATTAACTTGTACAATAAAAATAATTGACCTCATTTCCACATTTTATTTATCCTTTTGGACATTCATCTAATTCAGGCAAATGAGAATAAAAACTATTGTCTTTCTCAAGTATAGCACATAATTTAAACCCTTCTTTTTGATTTTAAGTTGGAAATCTATTAAAATTGATAGCATCTTTTGCATAAATCGAGATACATCCCCATGCTCTTTGTGTTATGTTACAAGCATGATTATTATAAATCTTATTTCTAGGAAACCATGTATGATGATTATTAGTTTTAATAGATAATAATCTAAAACTATAACGACAATCACATCCATCTACTGTTCCAGGCCATCTATAATTGATCAAATTTATTTCCTAACTTATAATTTTCATTCTTACTTCATTATTGCATTTATCAAAACTCAAACGTATAGATTATATTGGTTATTACTTCCAGTTCTCTATTATATATTTATAATTATCAAATGCATCACTATAGAAATAATAAGACATAATTGATAAAATTAAAAGTGCAGTACCCAATAAACAAAAATATGTTTAATAAATTATTCTTCCTGTTTAATTTTTAGGAATTGCTTGTGTATCACTTCTATTCAATCCTTAATTTTGATTGTTATTGGGTATTTGATCCATACTTTAATTTGAATTTAAATTATAATTTTATAAAATTTATTGATGATAATAATTTTCTTGTTTATTTGAAGATGGAGAATTATATAAATTTATAATAATATTATATTTTAAGGTATTATCTTATAATTAGATCATATTTAACTAGAAATTATGAATAATACAAATTTGAATTATATCTATTTATGAATAAATTATTATAAAGTCTTATCTATGGTATGTTATTTAAAAAATAGAGATTTTATAATTTAGAAAAAATCTGGTCAAAAAATACATTAATAATATACATTACATTTTTTATATTTACAAATTTATGAGTAGAACTCAAAGTTGTCAAATGGTGCAAAGCAATAAATTATTAGAACTATTAAAAAAAAAGAAGAAAGCAGAGTCATAAAACCCAAGTCTAAGTCCAAGATAATAATTATCACCTCCAAGATTAGCAAGACTTAAATCTCCAAAATTATTGGATGTTTAGAAATGTATATAACTAAAGTCTTATTTTAATTTAGTTGTAACAGCTGCTGTGAAACTAAAAGGAGTTTCTCATATAAGAACCTTAAATAGTGATAGGGACAATTATGAACTTATAATTACACTGATAACTTAGGATAAATAGTAAATATTGATTTAATATAGGTATATCGTACCGATTGGTTTAGATTAAACTACAACAGATCTATATTAGAAGTTAATTACAAAGATGAGTATGCATGATCCATAAAATTATGAAAAGATAGCATATTTTTAATGCTAAACCTAAAATTACAATGTGGATTACTATTTATCATTAGATGATAAACCATTGTCAGTGTTCAATAAAGGGAGGACTCTGAAATTGATTCCAATTTATTATAATGAAACTAAAAGTAATTCTTTTGATGATTTTATATTGATAAAATGTATTGGAGTAGGGTAAAGATTTTTAATTTTTTAGAGGCTTTTCGAGAGTGTATTTAGTAAAGTAGAAAAAGAATGGATAATTCTTTGCAATGAAAATAATAGATAAATCATTTATATTAAAGAACAATAAGGAGAGTATGATAAACAATGAAAAATGGATAATGAGTAATCTGGATAGTCAATTTCTAACAAGATTGCATTGTTCATTTGAAACTAAATATTATTTAGTATTTGTAATGGAGTATTTATTATATTTATATAATGTAGTTATTGTCATGGAGGTGAATTATTCTTTCATCTTCGAAAGATGGGTACATTGAATGAAGAAGTTGCAAAACAATATTTTGGATAATTATGTTTAGCAATACATTATCTTCATTAATAAAATATTATATATAGAGATTTGAAACCAGAAAATATCTTATTAGATATTGATGGTTATATTAAATTATCTGATTTTGGTCTTTCAAAACCTAATATTTCTAGAGATAAAGTAACTTATTCTTTTTGTGGATCTCCTGAATATATGTCACCTGAGATGGTATCTAAAAGAGGACATAATTAAATGTTAGATTGTTATAGTTTAGGGGCAGTATTATATGAATTCATATATGGTTATCCTCCATATTATGATTAATAATTGTAAAACATTCTAAATTCTATTCAATATGATAAATTAGAGTTTCCTGATTCTATTAAAATTAGTGATCAACTTAAAAATTTATTGTTTCATTTATTGACTAAAGATTAAAATGAAAGATTAGGAAAAATAAATGGTATAGAAGATGTTTTGAATCATTCATGGCTTAATAATTTTAATTATACTGCTCTTTACAAAAAATAATTAAATATTCATTATAAACCTTAACCATTATAAACAAATTATAATGTAATTGAATTCAGTAAAGGAGATAGAGAATTTTAATAAAAGTTGTAAGATAATTTACATAGAGAGAAATAAACAAAATTTGATAAAGATTTTCCTAATTTTGATTTTATTTCAGATTAATCTAAAAATAAAAGAGAATAATTTATTGAGAAGATAAAATATGCTAGTTTAAGATCTTCACTTCGAACTAGTATTATTAAAAATAAGATTACAACTCTTTCTTTGAATGGTATAAAATACTTATTTATTATTATATTAGCTCCATAATTAAGTGCAGTATGTCCAAGATTTTAATCAGTAAAGAATTCCTAAATATCATAATGTTCTTCCACTCAATCTTTCAGAAATTCATCATCCAGTAAGAGATTCAACACTGAATACGACCTTTAGAAATTACTTAAATTAAAATAATGAAAATAAATTATTTGTTTATATATATTTTATTTATATCTAGTTGTTTGAGAAGTATTTTTACTTAAATATACAGATTCTGAATTATATAAATAATTATAAATGTAGTAAATAGAAGAGAAATGGTTGATATGTGCTGATCCTGATAGTTGTTAGATTTATACTTTAAACATAAATACTAATGAAGTAAGAGTGGAATAGGATGTAGATTAAGACTATCGATAAAAAGCATTATAAGCAATCCAATAAATTGAATCAATGCTCAAATTAAAGACAGGTAATATTATATATTCTAGATTTTAAGGTACATGGTTGATGGCTTCAAAGTAGATAGATTAATATCGTAGAAGAAAGATACCGTCTTACTTGTTACATAAATAATCTTCCTCTATTCCTACATATTTATGTTAATCAACTCTTAGTTAGGCATTTGTCAAAGTAAACTCAATTAAACTTTAAGTTAAATTGAATCAATATAAAGAATTATTCTAAAATATGCCTGCTGAAGTTTAATTGATGGAAAAACCTAATATTGTTGAAATTGAGGCAGGTTTGGTAACTGGAGCTGATGAAGTTATTAAGAGTGTTCTTAGAGAAGTCTATTAAAGATTTAGTGTTAAATTAAGACCAAAAGATGATAACAATTAATTTATATTACAAATCTCAGGTTTCAAAGAGTTTTTAACAGGAAATCATCCAATGTTATCCTATGATCGTGTAAGAGTTTAATTAAGAGGAATGAAACATTTGGAAGTGATTTTAACTGAGATTCCTAAATAATCAAATCAAACATTTCTATTTCCTCCAATTATTCATAGAATTAAAGGAAGTGAACCCTTTCCTTAAATTGATTGGAGTAAATTTAGAGATGTTCCTGCTTTATTATGGTATTCACCATAACCATTAAAAAAATATGAATCTGAAATACCTAATACTAGATTATCTCTTGGGCTTGGACCTTCTCCATAAATTAAATTAGATAAGATTAAAGTATCAAATAGTCAAGATTTATTTACTAATCATGAAGACAGAATTAAGAGAATATCTATTGATGAAAATCCTATACGTCCTCCATCTCAAGATAATAATGGATAAAAATAAAAAACTAGTGGATAAATATATGATTTGATATCTATGAGAAATGAATTACAAAAATTAAATATGTTGAAAATAGAATAGAATGTACTTTATTCTGGTGAATGTGATTGGCCTTTTAGTGTTAAGATATGTTCACTTGAGAATTTGTTGTAAACATTGGAATAAGATAATAAATATGAAAATTAACATCAAAGAGCTACTTATAATGGATTAATACCTCCACTTTATATAACTAAAAAGAATGCTGGTACTAAAGTTGAAGAAGAACAACATAAATAAGGTAATAAGAAAAATGATGAATCAGACATTAATAATAAAAGACAATAAGTTCATCTTAAATTACATAAAAGAACTGGACGTGTTTTGGAAAATAAAAATATTGATATCAAAAGATACATACCTTTTGGAGGTTAAGACAATCTTGATGAATTAGCCACTTTACAAGAGAGATATGATCTAGATTTTTTACCTTATTTAATATCAGTATAAGTAAGTTTATTTCATGGATGTAAATTACTCACTCCATGGTGTCAAGCAGAAACCAAAAAATAACCATTTAGTTAATGTCCCAAATTTTATTAGACTATTACATTTTAAGGAATCAAAATATCTTAATTACCATAAGAAGCTAGATTATGTTTTAATATTATTGCACATAGTGCTACTGGATAATAATAAATTATTGGATGTACAACTATGTATATTTTCTATGAAGAAAGAAAGTTTAGATCATCCATTAATTAATTAAACATCTGGCCATTTTATAAAATTGATCCTAGATTACTTTGTATGGGTTAATATTGGGGATGGGTTAAATAATAGAATTAATAGTTGATTGTTCCTTAACAAAATAATAAAAATTAATTTTATATCTCTTCTCAACTTGTTAATAAATCTTATGGCAGATTATTAATTTAATTAGATTAATTCAATTAAACTATGAAATGGAGTCTTAGAGATGAAAAATAAATGGAAGAATTAGGTTTCTCTAAATCTGCTAGATCATAAAGATATTATGAAATGAGAAATAAATTTATTCCAAATTCTGATTATTCAAATTATCAATAATCTTAATCATCAGCCTTAACCTAAGATTAATTCAATTCTGCATACTAAAATACAAATAAGAATTCAGCATATTAATAAACAAATTCTAATTCACAATCAAATAGTTTTAGCAATTCTCAATTATTCTTAAAAAAATAAAGAACTGGAATGGCATCATTTTATAATGTACATCAAAGATAACATACTAATCCTTATGAATAATATATGTAAGTTGGATATTCTTCATAAGATTAAGGAACAATTCTTCGTTTTGGAGATATGCAAGATAGATAAACACATTTTGCATAATCAATGATGCATATGAATTAAGGTAGCAGTTTTAATGTACATGATTAATCTAGTACATAATTGAGTACCTTTAAATTAAGTCATTAATTCTCATAATAAAGTATATAGTAGAATTAGAGCTTCCAAGAAAATTACAATTAAGTATTTCCTTATAAAAATTGGTCAACAACTCCAAGGACTGAAGATCTTGCCATCTTGTAAGCATTGCTTAAATACAACCCATTAAATAGACCTTATTATACAGATTAACATAAATATATTTTAATGATCTGTAGGAATCATTATAAAACATTACCTTATGCATTATAAATCTTTTTAATGGCCATAGAATGGGATGATCCAGAATAAGTCAGAGAAGCTCATAATATGATTAAATTATGGACACCTCTACCTCCAGAAGATGCATTACCATTATTGGATGCATAATTTGCAGATGAAACTGTTAGACTCTATGCTGTTGAAAGAGTAAGTATTTTATCTGATGATGAATTACAATTATATATGTTAGAATTGACATAATGTTTAATGTTTGAGAAACATCTATTCAATCCATTAGCTGAAATGTTATTAGAAAGAAGTTTGCAAAATCCATGGGTGGTAGGACATGAGTTATTTTGGTTGCTTAAGGCTTAATTACATGTAAGACCATCTTATGAAAGATATTCTTTATTGTTAGAATAACTATTAATGCTTTGTGGAGAATTTAGGGAACAATTAATGAATGAAGTACTTGTGGATAATGAATTATTTAATATTGCATAAAAGATTAAGGAAGAGAATGTACCAAAAGATTTACGATAGAATTTTTTAAAGACTGAATTATTACAACTTTATCCAAAATTACCAAAACCATTTTCTTTTGCTTTAGATTCAAGAATGGAAGCTTAATCAATCTAATATGATAAATGTAAAGTTATGGATTCTAAGAAAATGCCTTTGTGGTTAGCAGTTATACCTAAATGTCTTGAAAATGATGATGAATTATAATTATAGTAACCCATTCATATTAAGTAACAAGAAGAAAATCTTAATGGAAATATCTCAGTTATCATACCTTAAGATGAAAATCTACATAATAATACTAAATAATAATAGGATTAAAAGGAATAAATTGAAGAAGAAGAGTAAAATAAATAGCATCTACTTAAAATCATATTTAAAACTGGTGATGATATTAGATAGGATATGTTAACATTATAATTAATTAAAATTATGGATAAAATTTGGTTAGATGATGGTTTAGATTTTAGAATGAAACCATATAAAACTATATCTACATAAGATAATGTTGGAATGATTGAAGTTGTTAGTAATTCCTTGACTATTGAAAAAATTCATGGTTAAGGAGGTCTTATGGGTGCATTTTAATAAAAAACTATATGGAATCATTTGAAAAAGAAAAATAGTGAACCTTAATCATTTGAAACAGCTACTGATAATTTTCTAAGATCATGTGCAGGCTATTGTGTTGCAACATATGTTCTTGGTATTGGAGACAGACATTCTGGTAATATAATGATAACTGACACTGGTCATCTATTTCATATTGATTTTGGTCATTTTTTGGGTAATTTTAAATAGAAATTTGGAATTAAAAGAGAGAGAACTAAATTTGTATTAACTGAAGAAGTATTATTATTTATAATTATTAGATGGCATTTGTTATGGGAGGAAGAGATGGAGATCTCTTTAAAAAGTTTTAGTAAGATTGTACAAATGCTTATAATTTGGTTAGAAAACATGGTCATTTTCTTATTAATATATTTTTAATGAATTTATCTGCTGGTATGCCTGAATTGTAATAGGCTTCAAATGTAAAATATATAGAAGATTAATTGGCTTTAAATATATCTGATTAAGAAGCAACTGCAAAATTTAAATAAGAGATTATCATATCTCTTAATGACACTTGGAGATAAATAGATAATTGGTTCCACTATATCAGAAGAAATTGATGATTTGATAGAATAATATACTCATTATAATTTGGTAATGATGTGTTAGATATTTTAATCTTCGGATTAGAATGTCTTAATCTATTCTTATAGTTCATTTAATTCTAATGATTTGTATGACAATAGAATTTATCTAAAAATTGCTACTCTTTTGTAATTTTATTAAGCATAATTCTCTAGAGTATGTTAAGCTAATTTAACAATTGCTTATTTGATTTTGTCTTTGGATATTATCTTTTTCTTTATCTATTCATTCTAAATGAGTGTAAATAATAGATGACTAAACTAAATTATATGAATATATAATATACATTATATTTACTTCTTTCATAATTTTCATTAATTTCACTTAATTGACATAATTTAAGTATAACTGGAATGAGTGTAAATTAATAATTGAATATTAGTTTTCTAATATTTTGCATTTAAATATTGCTGTTCTTTCTCATTAATACTAAACCTTTGACTATGATATCTGAAACAGCTTTCTTATCATGTTATGATATCTATTTTAAAATGAGATCAAGTAATTCAAAGAATCTTTTATTAATAGATTTGTCTTAGCATTTATGCAAATAAGTTATTAATGTTTCA